GTTTAAAAGAGCGTTTCTTACTCTATATTATACCATAGAAATAATAATAATAGGGTTTTGAACGTAGACGCTAGGGGGCGCTTTCTTACAATTTAACAAACATAGCGCGTTTTTTCAAAAAAATTAAATACAATATTATGTGTTATTTTAGCTGATAGTAAAGAGTAGTAAAAGCTTAAAAAGTCAGCGAAACCCGCATCTTGATATCTTCTTTCAAACCGAAGATATTAGCAAAATTATAATAAATACCAAAACATAAGTCCTTAATTACCTTATCTTTAAAATACAGTATCAGTAGCCCTCTTGATTATGTCCACTCTAACAAAAAAATAAGATAGAAACAGAGTTCAGAAAAAAGCCCTACGCGTTATGTTAGGCATGAAAATTAGGGAATCATGTAGAAATAAGTTTAAAGAGAATAACATACTAACAGTGACAGCTATTTTAATTCAGGAGTGCACTTTATTTTTCTTTAAAAATAAAAACCTATTTAACATTGATAAGCCACAGATAGTATATAACACCAGGCATTCTGATTATAATTATCCAGTCCACAGGCTTAAATTAACAGAATTAGGACCATATTATTATTGTTTGAAATTATTTAATAACCTACCCGATTATATGAAACAAATAGATAATATCGTGCCTTTCAAAAATCATTTGTATAAATTTTTAATAGATTTGGAACCATATAATTTAAAGGATTACCTATCTGTAAATTAATATAAATTAATCATAAAACTAGGTTAAGTTATTTTTGTTTTTGACTCTGTTTCGTTTTATGTTATTTAACATACTTTTGAAATAAAGATTATTTATTTATTTATTTATTATTTATTTATTTTAAAATCGACGATATACCAGAATACCATAATACCAGATGTATTAATATCTAAATAATTAAGATATTAATAATAGTGAACAAGAAACGATGATTCAGTGAAGTCATGGTAGGCTTTGGAAAAAAGTTGCTTTTCGCGCAATAATATAAACGTCAAATTGTTATTAGATCAACATTTTGATAGTCTTAGCAGCGTTTTTTTATCTTTTAAATGCTTTTTCAAAATGCCTATATTATTTGAAGTAGTTAAAGTTTTTGGCATTTTTAAAAAGCAATCAAAAGATAAAAAACGGTGCTAAGACTATCAAAATGTTGATCTAATAACAATTTAACGTTTATACTATTACGTCAAGAGCAACTTTTTTCCAAAGCCTACCATGACTTCACTGAATCATCGTTTCTTGTTCACTATAATTATTAGATATTAACACATCTGATATTATGATATTCTGGTATATCGTCGATTTTAAAATAAACTAACTGTTTCTATCTTATTTTTAGATTAGAATGGGCATAATCAAGAGGGCTACTGATACCGTGTTGTAAAAATAAGATAATTAAGGGCTTATTTTTTGGTATTTATTATAATTTTGCTAATATCTTCGGTTTGAAAGAAGATATCAAGATGCGGTTTTTGCTGACTTTTTAAGCTTTTACTACTCTTTACTATCAGCTAAAATTACATATACTGTTGCATTTAATTTCTTTGAAAAAACGCGCAATATTTGTTAAATTGTAAGACAACGCCCCCTAGCATCTACGTTCAAAAGCTTATTATTATTGTTTATATGGTACAATATAGAGTAAGAAACGCTCTTTTAAACGGGTCCTCGCTTGTTGGATTCCGATCATCCAGTCCAGAGTTATTAATATTCAAATAAAAATAGATCTAACCTTCCCCCACCACTTTATTTTGGTAGATAGGGGATAATGGCTCTAACAAAAAATATTCAAAATTTACTGAAAATTATGAAGCTGTTACCTATAGTACACCTTATCTAGGCTAAATTGTGTAAAAACTCCATTTTCTTATTTTTTGTTGCAGTTGCGCCTCCTAGCGGTCGTTCTACAAACTTGAAAATAATTTCCAGCAATTTCCCATAGCCTCTTTAGTTACAAATATTTTTTTTCCGCAGCCGCTGCGGCTAATACTTTCCAAGATACAGCCGAGAGCTATTCTTAGTGGGACACCCTGTACAAGATAGCGTAATAACAACTGCAAAAAACTCATCGCAACTTTTTTAGAATATTTTGAACGGTAAAGCGGTAGGTAGTAATGGCCCTTTATATCCCTTAACTGCTGTTAAGGAGGTGAGTTTTGTTGATATAAATAATAACTGTTTATATATTTATAATTCATTTATTTTTGTTTCATAAAATATTTTGATTAAAAGAAAATATGTAAAAGTGGCAACGCTGTGCCGGTCAGGCTCAATAACGTGACTAAAAGTTTACTTGATATGAACTATAGTTGCTTCTGGTTAGGTTAGGTAGGTACACAATTTTTCAGAAAAAAATATTAAATAAAATATTGTTAAGTATGGTGTTATCTTCTGAATATGGCTGTCTTATTGAGAAACATCTAAAAAAAACATATCTGTAATATAGATATTGTAGGTACCTATCTCTGTATAGAAAATTCTAGGTATAGATAATTAATACACAAGTATTACAAGTATCTCAAGGCAATCAATATCAATTTTCAAACAAAAAAAAGATACACTTTATTTTCGTCTCGCGTTGAAAATTTTCAATATTCGTACGTAGAATATAATAATAAAAAAGAATATTATATTTTCGAGCGTTGGCATCATCTATCTCTCTCCCTCTCACGCTGCATCTAAAATAACAGTCAATACTTCCTACAGGGCCTTAAAAAGGGGGACTTTTGTATATATTTCCTGTAAAAGGTAAAGAGAAATAAGCCAGGGATGTATTTAGGTAAAAATGTCTTCATTTTTGAAAATTTTGGTGCATTCAATCAATAAAATACCTATCTATTATTCATTGTTTTACAACCCTTGTGTAACTATAAAATATAGTGTCATTTTAAATATAATATAAATATATAGAGTCGTTTAAGAGTTAGGTAAGTCCCCAGTTTTTGCCACACAACCCTCTATGCAGCTACCTAAAGAGATTGCTTTAAAATTAAGTTGTTATATTTAAGGTGACGTAGAGGTGGGAATTCTAGTTCCTTGAGAGGAACTAGTTCCTTAGTTCTAGTTCCTCCAGAGGAATAGTTCCTTGAACTAGGTCTTTAGTTCACAATAGTTCCCGACTAACATTGACATCCCCCTTGCTTGCTAATGCGTTTCGTTGTCAGTCAGAACTATTCACAGTATGATCTGCATAATTTTTATAATGTACGAAGATATAACGAGACGTGTAATTGTGTATGTTAAAAACATATAGGTAAGTTTTATTGCAGATAAAAAAAAATAAAAAAAACTCAAATCAGAATTTAAAAGACTATATCACAAATCAATTGGAGCAAATAATACAAAAATTTTACGAAAAATTGCGTTTTTCCTCACTTCAAGCTTTTTGTTTTTGTCTAAAAATTCAGAATATCTACTTCGTTTTATAAGATATTTCTTAATTTTTGGGACCTAAAGTGAAACATTCCCATAAAATATTTAAAAAACAAACTAAAAATTAAAAATACTATCCACGACAATTTTCTGTGGTAATAACGCCGCGCCGGCTGCGCCAATAGACAAGGCCGAATCCATCGTCGTCGCCTTGTATTATATCTCGGATCTGCCGACTGAATAGATTCCCGTGAACTAGTCTTTTAATAGTTCCTCTATGTCCGGATCCGATAACATACGGCTGGCACTCCCCGCGCCTGCCTAGCATCAATCGCGCTGGCTGATCCATACGTAAACTAGTCGTTTATTTAGTTCCTCTAGTTCCTTTAGGTCCGGATCCGATAGCATACGGCTGGCACTCCCCACTCTTGCCTAGCATCGATCGCGCTGGCCCGATCCGTTCGTACGTAAACTAGTCTTTTATTTAGTTTAGTTCCTCTAGGTCCAGATCCGATAACGTACGGCTGGCACTCCCCACTCCTGCCTACCATCGGGCTACGCGCGCTAGCCGACCCGTCGCCGTCGCATATTATTCTATATCGGTCACAGTCTCGATCCCGGAAGAGGTCCTGAGGAACTAGTTCTTTGAGAAACCAGGAACTAGTTCCTTTCATTCCGGGGTCGGAATAGTTCATTGGAACTAGTTCGTTCACGAATTACACACTTCTAACGTGAAGCCCAATAACCACACTATCTATTTCACAAAATGTCATTTCGATGCCACCAATAAAGAAAATTTAATCAACAATTATTTATACTCAACTTTTTCTAAACTGTCCGCCCACTGGCATATTCAAGCAGTGGCGTGTAGTGCAAATGGCAAAAAATGACAAAATAATAAAATAAGAATAGCATAAATAATTAAGTAATCTAAGTAATTATTTTTTTATACAGGGTGAGTCTTAAATAAGTGCAAATATTTTCTACCTTCTAATCTTTTAATAGGTACCTACAGTATGTCTCTAAAACGGTATGGAAATTTGGAAAAGTATATACAAGATTGACCATTTCAGAACAAGCAAACATTTTTATGAAGAATGCATTTTTCGCAAAATGTCAATAATAAAAAGTTTTCCTCTTGTAAAGACAATCCGGGGACATACTGTACAACTATTGATCTTTTCAAATATACCTATGCAAAAAAATAGATAAAGTTTTTGTTTTCAAACCCAATCATATCACATCCAGATACATATAATCGAACACAAACAATTCCCAAAAATCTCGTACCTCTCTCCAATCCCCGAAAAAAAATCCTTGTAATTTTCCAACCATAAAAAACACGAAAATCAACGTGAAAAAAATCCCAACCCGTACCCCCCGACGTACCGATCCCGACGTACGATTCCGCCACGCGGGGGTGTGACGCAAGGGGAGGAACCCGTCGACGTATCGATCCACTCGCGACCATTTTGTGCGCGACCTCGCCCATTCCCGTCCAATAAAATCATTCCAAAGGGGCGGGGCGAAGCCACGACCACGCCCGAAACTTCCCGAACTCGCCCGACCGGTCTAACCGGCGAGCGCCGAATCGCGCCGGGCTCAGTTTGCGTGAACGCGCCCTAAGAGACGTATGTACAGTGGCGTAGCGCCAAAAACACTGAAAAATCGGATTTTAGTGCTAGCAAGGAGGTTCGGAGTGAGTGTATGATTGTATATTATATTTTCGGTTGAGTAAGAGTGCTGGGGGGAGTAATGGTGATGTCAGAGCAGGGAGGCGGTATCGCCATGCACCACCAAGTGTTGCCCATGCATCACCAGAGGGGGCTGGTGCAACCTAGTCTGGTGATGAACCCCCACAACCCTATTGGGGGTGGTGAGGGATGTGCCGTGGACGGGGCTCAGAACAGTGAGTATTTTTAGTGATTTGTTTCGGTGGTATTGAAGGTTCAAAAAGGGCAAGGTCACCGGGAATGATAAAATTAAGTAAATAATTGATAAATCGCGATGTAGAATTATTTGTATTTATTTTGAACAAGTTTAATTGTACGGAATGAGATTCATTGAATTTTAGGTTTTTGCCACTAAAAGAATACCTATCTACAAAATAAAATAGTTACTTTTTGTAAACACCTCTGCATTGATTCAACGGAGACATGTTAGATCCTAACGGACAGATGATTCACGAACATAAAATCTCTAAGATTGTTTAAAAAAGGCGATTTTCGCAAATCTAAGAGTTTTCAGCATTCATGGGACACAGGGCACAAAGTAGATTATATGAGCCTTTTTTAAAAATTTCTAAAATTATATAATTATGAATTGTAATTATGTCTAAGGAACGTATTATATCTAGTTAATCTTAAAAAATAATTATCCTCTTGAGGTCCAACCTTAAAAAAATATTCACGATTTTGATCTGAATGTCGAAAAATTCCTGGTCTATTGAAAAAAAGAGATGTTGGTTCATAAATTAGTAGTATAACACTCGTTATATATGGTTTTTAATTTTTATTTTGAACATAATTCCAAAATTTCCTTACCTTTTATAAGTAACAACCATGAAATACAATAGAGATTTTGAGTAATAATATAAAATAAAAAACACTCATCTATAACTACTCTAATATAATTTATTTACTTCAATAATGTCACAAATAATAAATTTACAAGAGAACAGTTTCTTCCACATCTCCTACTACAATATTTTTCTGTACCAGCCACTGAAGGTATTTTTATATTTCTTTTGCTAAATGGATTCTATTGCTTTAAAATCTCGAAAAATAATTCTGAAATACTTATTTTATTAATACCTCTCTCAGTTTTTTACCTACTATATTCTTACAAATTATATATTTTAAGACTTAACTCTATTAAACTATCTAAACGAACTGCATGGAATTAATTCATTAATCCATTAGGTATGCATAGTTCAGTAAAATTAATATTAAAATGTTTCCTTTTTCTACATGTTCAGTAAAGAGTGAAGTATATGAAATTTCATTTTAATCGTGCTTATCGCTTTGGAGATATCGTGATAAGTCAGTGAATATATAAAATCAATCAGACATCACATCACATATTTATGGAATCGCTTTAACCTAGCTGTTTTAGTTAACCCAGCAATGTTACAAAGGTTCTCAAAAGGTCTATTATGTCTCTATAAAAAAAATTAAAAAATTAAAAAAAACTATACAATAATTAATTGTAATTATGTCTAAATATATCTATAAATAAAATATTATATCTTTAATTACGTATGTTACAGAAAAGTCTAGATCAACTTAAAGAATAATTTTCATATTGAGGTCCGATCGAAACTCAAAAAAAATGATGTTGATTTCAGTGTCAAAAAGTTCCTATAGTCTAACAAAAATACATTTTTGTTGGTTCATAGATTAGTACTATAACTCACGTTAACCTTGTTAGTTTTTAATTTTCATTTTAAACCGAATTTCTAGAAATTATTTTAAAAAAACAAAGAAATGCGTCTCATAAAAACGCAAATTATGACACAGTAAAATAATATTAAAATTTAAAAACGTTTTTAATGCTTTGAACTTATATCTATATAGTTCTATGATATAATAAGTGTATTGGATTGCACAAATTTGTGGGACAAAGAAAAAAATTTCGTCGTTATCTATTAGTTGATATGTGAAAACTGTAATAATAGTAAAATGAGAAATAAGTACTACTGTACGCAATTTACCTTATTTTTACCAAACTAGTACCTACATGTATCACAATTACCTCGCTTTCTACAAATTGCATTTACCTACATATTTTATGTATCCTTAGAAGAAGGTTTAAAACAAAACTTTCCATAATTTTTCACAACGATATCTCTGGAACAAAAAGTGTAAATCTCAAAAAATAGACTGTTTTGCAAAATACACATTTTTAGGCCTATACAACATGTTACAAAAAATAAACAAACCACATCTTTCAAAATGTTTTGAAAAGAATCAAAGGGAAGGACCAAGAAAAAGGTCGATAATGTAAAGTTCAAAATTATGAAAATTTTACGGAATGTCAATATTAGGTACATATGTGATTGTAAATAAAGTATATATTTATTTTAAAAAATTTTATAAAAAAAATATTTTTACATTTATCTAATCTAATAATTGTTTTGTCTGGTACAATTTCATTTTGTTTAAACAACATCCTAAATCAACATACTCCAAATTTTAACAGGACTGAGATTGGAGTACTATCTAGATTTTGTTTCTCCTTCAAAATTACTACAATTTAAAATTTTAATTTCCTTAAAATTAAGTTTAAAATGTGTACTTACAGGCTGTCATAATTTTGAAAATTAAATTATAGAAAATTACTTGACTTTCAAAGTCTTATCGTTTTATTATCTCTTGAAAACACCTTTGTTTATGAGGTACAAAATGTTTATTTCCTATAACCAACTAATCTCAAAATTATAAGGACTTTTTTTAAATTTGTCGCTGTTTATTTGATTTAATATTTTTTTTTTAAATAAAATGTAAAAAACTGGTACAATCTGGGATAAATTACTATAAGTTAAACAGACCAACAGTACTATACAAGACAAAGGTATATACCAAAGATATAGATGTATGTACTAACAAAAAATTCTAAGTTCACTTACCACTTTGGCTGTATGAGGCCGTGCATTGTCATGCATGAGAATGAAGTTTCTCCCAAAATCATTGGCATATGGTAACACGACAGGCTCAAGAATTAAATCACGATATGTGATTCCTGTTAGAAACCTTTCAAGAAAAACGAGATCGGTTTTTCGGCCTAACTGGACTCTTCCCCAGACCATAACTGTTTCACCTTGATAAGGGTGCACTTCCTGAACATGATCCAACCGAATAAGATTTCCCCGTTCTCTCCATACCCTAAGCCTTCTCGAATCCTGATGAATTCCAAAGTGTGACTCATCCGTGAAGAGAACATTGGCCCATTGTTCATTCGACCACTGAACATGATCTTGAGCCTACAAATATCGTACCTCTCTATTTCCTCTCGTTAAGGGTTGAGCTCTCCAGGGGCGTCTGCTTCTTAAGTTGACCTCTCTTAATCTATTGCGAACAGTGTCGGGACTAACGGTTACATTGTGTGTTTCCTGGAGAATTAAACTAAGCTCTGGTGCTGTAAGAGTCGGTCGACGTCGAGCATTTAATTGTAAAAAATAATCTTGCTGAGGGGTAGTAATGCGATGTCGCCTTGTGTGCCTTTCAGCAACATCACCACTTTCACGGTAGCGTGCACTTAATCGCGATATTACACTTTGCGTTGTGTTTAATGCTCTAGCTACGTCGATTTGGCGCATTCCAGCTTCGAGCATACCCATGGCCCTTAGCATTTCGTCTCTGTTAAGATGTCTACGCTCCATAATGTCGTTTAATACGAAACAGAGTTATTTGAATGAATGCTGGCCAGTTATCATAAAAACATAGCCAGTACAGGTTAAATTCGAACAATTGATGCTAGGTGCTTTTTATATATTTGACAAAAAATGCACAAACACTTCTGCAAATATCCCAAATTTAGAAATAACTGTGACTACTTCGTTTCAATCGAAGTAGAAATAATCGGCCTACAAATATGTGGTTGTTTATTCAAAACATTTATTTTTAACTTTAATAAAATGATATCCCTAGATTTTTCCGGTGTGTGTAGTTTATAGTTTATTATTTCCTTATATTTCGTGTGTTTTACCAAGTTTTACCTATTTTATAATTAGGAGAAAATTTTAAAAACTTATTTCTGATAATTTTTGGATACCGATGTTTTGAATCAACCTTAAATAAATTTAAATAAACTGCTTTTTATTAAAAAAATAAGACGATCAAAATGCTGTGATGAATATTTGACAGCTGTATTATAAAGTATGTTTCATTCATTATAGTATCATAAAGTATGTTTTCAATTAATTGCTTGCAATGACTGCTTGAACCAAGAATAATTAATCATGCAAGACACCATGATTAGCTGACTTAGATATGTTTTCCGTTTGCCTATTTCTTTCTTTTCAACATCAAGAACTTTGGTTTAGTTATGGTAAGACGTGTGAAATACGACCAAACCTTCATATTATTTTTTTTTTCTGGATGAAAATCCTTCAATCCTTCGATCGATGAAATTTTGACTGTAAAATCCTTCAATTCCTGCAACACTGCTCCGAGATATATATAAGTGGCAATGGGAAAAATTAGGTGTCTTATTATAGTACCGGGTGGCCAACTAAGAATGGACGCCGGCTGTATCTTAGAAACTACTTATCGTACAACTTTGGGAAAAAATCTAATAAGTAAATCGACCAAGGGAAATCGCTGGATATTGTTTTCAAGTTCGAAAAATGTCCGCTAGTGAGCGTTTATCTCAAAGCTAATCAGAAAACAGGGTTTTTCTCAAAAATATGCAGGTGAACAGGTATTTTAAATAATACTATTGTAATCATCAAGAAATTTGTAATTTTTTTGATATAGAGTGTTTTACTCTATCTCATAAAATAAAGTGGTGGGGGAAGGTTAAACTTGCTTTTATTAAAATAAGAATAACTTTGGTTTGGATTAGCCGATTTAAACAAACTAGGGCTCATTTAAAAGAGTTTTTCTTCCTTAATGATCTGCAGTATAAATTTTGTTTCCATAATTTTTTTCGTGATAGCTAGAGGGCGCTGTTTGACATCATAACAGATATTGCGCTTTTGTATAAAAAATTTAAATAGGAAGCTATATTACTTTTTGCACAGTTAAATAAATCAAAAAAATTCTAAAATATCAGCGCAAACCGCAACTTTCTATCTTCTGTCAAACCGGAGATATTAAGAGAACAAATCATGTTAGGCTGTCATTAGTATTATATGGTCTAAATATCTATGGACAATCAATAATTTTATTAAAATTTCTAGGAATTTTG